GAATAGCCCTTGAAGGTAAAAAGTCACTGTGAAGAATCTGAATTTCAATTGGAAATGAAATCCATATTCCACAGAGCTCAAAGGGCAGTATTTGAAGAGAATTTTCTATCTGCAAGCAGGTAATCCATGGGGTCAGAGCTGGGGGACAATAAAACGATGAAGAACAGTATGAATTACTTACTGGTAATGAACCCAGGATGGCCCAAGAGTTTTCTTGAATTGTGCAAGTCCCACAATATCAATGTAAATGAGCTCCACAATTCTGTCCCCTACAGTTGGGCAACCAGATCTGTTTCCTACAACCTTCTTCATTATTCTAAAGGCGAGGAAGATGAGGGGGGAAAAAAGAAAAGGCACCATTTAGTCGACATACTGTATTTGACAACTTTAATAGGCAAATTTAATAGCATTCAAAGAAACCTCATCAAAGACAATGGCATGGACCTTCAAAATATGCTGCCTGCACAAATTCTTCCTAGCCTTTAAAATCTACCCAGAGCCTTGATTCTGACTCTTGACACAATCACTGGCATGGAACAAACAGCACCTTTGAGATCAAGGAAGCTCGTGGTCTGAGTTTGCCATCACCAACTAGCAGCTAGGAGACCTTAGACAAGTTATTTAACCAATGTTTTCCTTTCCGCAGTAGCTCCTCTAAAAACTTGGCTATGGATTGGTGCGGATGCCAATCTTTCAGGGATTCTTAGAGGAAGTGAGCTGTTGACGACAGGTCCCTAAGGTATGCAGGGCTCTCCGTGCCTCTTCATTTCTCCCAGAGTCAGTTCTTACTGTAGACTTTACTACCTTAGCCTTCCTTTCTCTAAATGCCTTCGATTTATAGCCTCTTTTGCAGTCACTTCTTCCAATTTGGCTTTTCACCATTCCCTAATTATTTCTTTGAAGGCAATTTCGTTGTTATTGTTAGGTGCCCTTGAGTTGGTTCCAACTCATAGCAACCCGATGTACAACAGAAAGAAACCGTGCCCGGTTCAGTGCTATCCTCAACGTTGACCGTGCCAGGTTCAATGCTATCCTCAATGTTGACCATGCCAGGTTCAGTGCTATCGTCAACATTGTCCATGCCAGGCTCAGTGCTATCCTCAACGTTGCCCATGCCAGGCTCAGTGCTATCCTCAACGTTG